AGGGCGGGTGAGGGCTTTCTCAAAGACATATGTAACACTCAACGAAAAACAAGCCTTCAGCTTTGTTGCCTTGTACTTTTGATAGACAATTGGTACACAACCCGGATAATGCTGCAGTCTTTGAGGCATGTGTTTGTGTAGCCTTCGGAATGCTCAAGGTACCCACGTAGCTTGATTTTTTCCGCTCACTTCACCGCTAGCCCTCGACGTCTCCAGGATCCTCATAAAAGGTCTTTTAACCTGCAGTCGTTATAACTGGCAGTCAGTCGCACTGCGAAATGGATTGTAGCAGAACTTCGGTCTCTACGCCAAGTACACTGATTGGAGGGAAATTGAAGGAAATTTCTTAAAGGCTCTTCTCTTATTCTCTAAAGACGTTTTCGGCAAGGTGTCAAAAATTACGTTTCGCGACGTACTTTATTCCCACCTTGTGTGGAGCAGCGATATTAGCCAAATTTCGTCTTTTGACAGGACCGGACTTCAATCCATGGGATCAGAGCAGCAACCCTGCGTTCCTTTTGTCCAGAAACGGTTCCTCTCTCAAGGAAGCCTGCGTAGAAGAGCGTATTTAGGGAAGGCTGAACCAGCAACCGAGGAGTCATGACCAGAGTACGCCATCGCGTTGTGGTAAATTTCTAGCGTATCTCGCTACTACTCCCCCTCCTCCAAGGGAGAGAAAGCTAAAAGAAGGAGGAGTAATATAGAATAAGATACTTGAATTATGATTGTTCGCGTACGTAGATGGCGAGAGAGTTCAAATGCCTTTTCTGTTGTACTGGATGAGCTATTTCGCGATGCGTGTTGCAAAATAAGAAAGGAGCTACAGAAGTACCTTTCCTCCAAATATTCCTGATTTTTCTGAGAGTAGAGCGTCTGAAGAGAAAAGAGAGAGGGAGAGAAAAAAACTGGGGTGTGGAGCGCTGGATTTGTGGTTCACGAGCTGTGCTCAGGCTCATTCAAGCTCCTGTTTTTTGGAGTACAGTTTATATCACCGCGACCTGTCGGGTCGCAATCAGCGGTTCCCACCTGCGGCCTTCCCACCAGTGGCTGATTCCTTCCTACATCGATCATTGCTCGATCACCATTGGTAGAGCAAGGCGGCCGGACGCGAGCTCGTGCCGCGCGCCGCCCCCGACAAATTGCAATGTTACAGAACTATACTCTCTCCACTGTGAATTCGTTTTTCAGTGTTTTATTGCTTTGAAAAGCATGACTTTTTTCACGTATGATCTTCCAAGGAACCAAAAGCAATGCCAGAACCTAGAAGATCTCTCCACTCCAAAAAGCTCCTCTTTTTCTCTCACGCCCGCTTTGAGTCCCTTATTGGGTTTTGTTGTGAAGTTCAGAAGTTCTTGTATAGACTGCATTTCCAAAGGATGGGAAGGGCGTGGCTTTGAACATGATCTTGAATGCGTTTCTCATGAGATATTCCATTTGAGGCAACTGACATCCTACCCTAAGCTGAACAAAGGCATGAATGCAGTTCCAGACACAGAAATATCCCATCACAAATGCGGTTATTTCTCTATTTCTCCGAGATATGAAGAGCATCTGCAGACAGGAAAGGTTCTGCGATAGCGACTCTTTCTACTGGGCTCAAACTAGCCTTGAAGACAAATTCTGCACTTATC